GCTCTCTCTCAAAAATAAACATTAAAAAAAAATTTTTTTTAAAGAATCATATGCTCTAATGCCTGAGCCAGCCAGGTGCCCCAGCATTTTAATATTAATAACAGTGATGACTATTTTGTCTAGGACAGTGATTAAGAGCACAGGCACTGGATGCTTGAGTTCAGTTTCCAGCTCTGCTTTTGAATAGCTTTGTGATCTTGGGCAACTTGCTTAAGCTTTCCTTGACGTATTAAATGGGGATAAAAACTATATGTCCTTTTAGGTCAGTGTGAGGATTGAATGAGTTAACTCATGTGGAGTACTTAAAATAATTCCTAAAATGTATTAATAAATGCTCGATAAATGTTAGCTTTTAAGAGAAGCTTTATAGCATATTATGCTTAGGTTCATAGAAGTGGAAGGCAGATTAACAGGGTTTGAATTCTGTCTTTGCCACTTACTAGCTGTGTAACCTCATGTAACTTAGCCTTGCTGTGACTGATTTTCCTTATCTATAAAAATGTGGATAGTTCCTAGCACAGTATGAAAACTCCAAAATTGTTATTATTCATGGAATCTGAGAAATTATGTTTCAGTACATAGATGAATTTTCTGTATGACTAAAAAAAGATAAACCAGCAACCATCTTTACTTTCAAATAAAATCTTCATTTTATACTACTTTTATGACAGGGGCACCTGGGTGGCTCAGTCAGTTGAGTGTCCGACTTTGGCTCAGGTCATGATCCTGTGGTTTGTGGGTTCAAGTCTTGCATCAGGCTCTGTGCTGACAGCTCAGAGCTTGGAGACTGTTTAAGATTCTGTGTTTCTTTCTCTCTGCCCCTCTCTGCTTCCGCTCTGTCTCTATCTCAAAAGTAAATGAACAGTGCTCGCTTCGGCAGCACATATACTAAAATTGGAACGATACAGAGAAGATTAGCATGGCCCCTGCGCAAGGATGACACGCAAATTCGTGAAGCGTTCCATATTTTTCACTTTGGGGATGAGCACTGAGTGTTATGTAGAAACTAATTTGACAATAAACTATTTGTAAAAAAAAAAAAGTAAATGAACATTTATTAAAAATTTAAATATTTCTTTTACAAAACAAAATAAAAAAATACAGAATAAAACATAAATGCAGAATAAAAATCAGTAGATAGGAATAGCCGAGATGGATGAAGGGAATCAAAAGGTACAGATTTCTAGTCATAAATAAGTCATAGAGATGTACTATACATCATGGCAACTATCATTAATAATATTCTACTGCATATTGGGAAGTTGCTGAGAGAGTAAATCTTTTTTTTTTTTCCCTAGGGGAGAGAGAGAGAGAGAGCGTGAACAGGGGAGGGTCAGAGAGAGAGGGAGATACAGACTTCGAAATAGGCTCCAGGCTCTGAGCTGGCAGTCAGCACAGAGCCCGACGCGGGGCTCGAACCCATGAACCGCGAGATCATGACCTAAGCGAAAGTCGGACGCTTAACGGACTAAGCCACCCAGGCGCCCCTGAGAGAGTAAATCTTAAAAGTTCTCATCACTGGGGCACCGGGATGGCTTAGTCAGTTGAGCGTCGGACTTCAGAAGCTCAGGTCATGATCTCACAATTCATGAGTTTGAGCCTCCTGTTGAACTCTGTGCTGACAGCTCGAATTCTGTGTGTGTCTTTCTCTCTCTGCCCCTCCCCTGCTCACACTTTGTCTCTGTCTCAAAAATAAATAAAACAGGGGCGCCTGGGTGGCTTAGTCGGTTAAGCGTCTGACTTTCACTTAGGTCATGATCTCGCGGTTTGTGGGTTCGAGCCCCGCGTCGGGCTCTGTGCTGACTGCCGGCTCAGAGCCTGGAGCCTATTTCAGAGTCTGTGTCTCCCTCTCTCTCTGACCCTCTCCTGCTCACGCTGTCTCTCTCTCTCTCCTAGAAATAAATAAAACATTTTAAAAAATTAAAAAAAATAAAACATTAAGGGGCATCTGGGTGGCTCAGTTAGTTAAGTATCCAACTTTGGCTCTGGTCATGATCTCACGGTTTGTGTGCTCAAGTCCCACATTGGGCTCTGTGCTGATGGCTTAGAGCCTGGAGCCTGCTTCAGATTCTGTGTCTCCAGACCCTCCACTCCTTCCCCACTCACACTCTGTCTCTCTCTGTCTCTCAAAAATAAACATTAAAAAAGCATTAAAAAAATAAAACATTAAAAAATATTTTTAAAAGTTCTCATCACAGAAATCTTCTGTAACTGTGTATGGTGATAGATGTTAGCTAGACTTGCTGTGGTGATCATTTCACAGTATATACAAATATCATGTTGTCGACCTGAAACTAATATGTCAGTTTGTACCTCAATTTAAGAAAAAATAGTAGAGGGATGCTTGGGTGGCTCAGTTGGTTGAGCGTCCAACTCTTGATTTCAGCTCAGGTTATGAACTCACAGTTTGTGGGTTTGAGCTCTACATTGAGCTCTACAATGACTGTGTAGAGCCTGCTTGGGATTCTCTCTCCCTTTCTCTGCCCTTCTCCACTCATGCTGTCTGTCCCTCTTCTCCCTCTCTCACTTTCCCTCTCTCTTTCTCAAATAAATAAATATTTTTAAAAAGAAAAGTAGAGAGGCACCTGGCTGGCTCATTCAGAGGAGCATGTGACTCCTGGTTGTAAATTCAAGTCCCATGTTGGTTTTAGAAATTATTTAAAAAGAAAATCTTAAATAATAAGGGACGCCTGGGTGGCTCAGTTGGTTGAGCAACCAACTCTTGCTTTCAGCTCAGGTCATGATCCCAGGATCATGGGATTGAGCCCCATATTGGGATCTGTGCTGAGCATGGAGCCTGCTTAGAGTTTTCTGTTTCCCTTTTCCCTCTGCACCCGCTGCCTCTCTATGCCCATGAGTGCACTTTCTCCTCTCTCTCTCTCTCTCTCTCTCTCTCTCAAAATAAAAAGGGTGTGGGGCACCTGGGTGGCTCAATTGGTTAAGCATCCGACTTTGGCTCAGGTTATGATCTCACGATTCATGGGTTTGAGCCCTGTGTCAGGCTCTTTGCTGACAGCTAGCTCAGAGCCTGGAGCCTGTTTCAGATTCTGTGTCTCCCTCTCTCTCTGACCCTCCCCTGCTCATGCTGTCTCTTTTTCTCAGAAATTTAAAAAAAAATTTTTTTTAATTTAAAAGAAAATAAATTTAGGAAAATAAAAATACAAGGGTGTCTGGGTGGCTCAGTTGGTTGGGGTTTGACTTCAGCTCAGGTCGTGATCTTGCGGTTCGTGAGTTGGAGTCCTACATTGGGCTCTGTGCAGACTGCTTGGAGTCCGGAGCCCGCTTTGGATTCTGTGCCCCCCACCCCTCGCTCTCTGCCTCTCCCCACTTCAAAAATAAATTAAGAGTTAAAATTTTTTTAAATATAAAAACATAAATAAAAATTGATTTTAAAAATAGAGTATTAAACTACTACAAATCAAAGTCTTCAGGGAGAAATCTTCTTCTGAAGTTATGCAAATCAAAACCATGATTAGGACTTTTCCTGACACATTATTCCCCTTTAGTTTCAAAAGTGCTTTTTCTGTTACCAAAAGGTACCTAGTAACTGTGGTGTCTAAATGGGGTGTCTCTTGATCAGATGGGGACCCCCAAATGTGGGGTGAAGCTGAAAGAATTCACCTGAGGTAGAACAAAAGGGACAGGAGTTGATTGAATACACTGCGCAGAGCTGGGGCAGGACAGCAGAGGAGAGACTGTAACAAGGCAGTGGGCGGGGGCTGTTTTTAAAGGGGGGAGGTGGGGAGATACGGGAACAGATGGAGTTTTCCCTTTTTTTGTAACTACTTGATTGTAAGTAGCTCCTTGTTAGGGCCTATTGATATTTTGAGGCAGGTCACCTGATGGGCGTCTATTCAGCCAAGTGATCACTGTGGGCCCTTTTTACATTCTATTGCTCAACCCTCTTTGCCTAAAAGCAGCCTCTGCATGGGCACTTGGGTGGTTCAGTAGATTAATAGTCTTATTCTTGATTTTGGCTCAGGTCATGATCTCACAACTTGTGGGATCGAGCCCTGCATCCGGCTCTGGGCTGATAGCCAAGAAAAAAAAAAAAAAGGCAGCCTTTGTAGTAACCCCTTGTAAAGCTATTTTGAGCTTTTTATAAAGAACACATTTTTTTTTTTTTTTAAACTCTGGACCAGTGATTTTCAACCTGGTGTAGTTTTGTCCCCCACTGGACACCTGGGAATGTGTAGAGATGATTTCAGTTATAACACTGGAAGTGCAGGGTGGGTGGAGTATGCATGATACTGGCATTTAGTGGGTAATGTTCTGCACATCCTACAATGGACAGGGCAGCTCACACAACAGAGAACTGACCCTCCTCAAATGTCAGTAGACTGATGGGGAGAAAACCCTACTCTGGACCAAAAGGCTTAATGACTTCCCAAGGTCACTTATCTGCTAGAATCTTAATTTAGAATTGGGTCTCGGGGCACCTGAGTGACTCAATCAGTTAAGCATCCAACTTCAGCTCAGATCGTGATCTTGTGGTTCATGAGTTCGAGCCCCAAGTCGGACCCTGTGCTGACAACTCAGAGCCTGGATCCCACTTCAGATTCTGTATCTCCCTCTCTCTGTGCCCCTCCCCTACTTGTACTCTGTCTCTCTCTCAAAAATAAAACATTAAAAAATTTTTAATTTAGAAGTGGGTCTAAATTGTGGACAAGGAAGCATCTCAGTTTCAAGATCCCTTAACTAGAGGGGCGCCTGAGTGGCTCAGTCAGTTAAGCGTCCGACTTTGGCTCAGATCATGATCTCGCAGATTGTGGGTTCGAGCCTCGCATCGGGCTTTGTGCTGACAGCTAGTTCAGAGCCTGGAGCCTGTTTCAGATTCTGTGTCTCCCTCTCTCTCTGACCCTCCCCTGCTTACACTGTCTCTCTCTCTCTCTCTCTCAGAAATAAATAAAAAACATTTTTAAAAAGATCCCTTAACTAGAACAGTTCATGTAAACTTTTGGAAAATTAGTAGTCAGTACTGTTTTTTTTTGTGTGTGTAGGGTCTGTGAAACAGGATCTGACAACCAACCTCTTAGTGATGATCGACAAACAAATTGTGAATATTTTGTTGACAGCCTTTTTGAGGAAGCTGAGAAGGTTGGTGCCAAATGTGTGTCTCCCACTGAACAGAAGAAACAGGTAAAATGTCCATAACTTTTTTTCTCTTCCAGTGTTTCTCAAAATAGGAACCCTATGTTTCATAATAATAGTAAGTTATTATTACCTTTTCCACTGTGTTGACATTGCACTGATACCGCAAAAGTAATGTGGGTTAAACTGCCGGTGCCTTAAGAGGAATCAAAGCAGTGGCACCAAAACTGTACTAGTAATTACTGTGTTTTTTATTTGCTTTCAGTCGGGGGCATGCTAGTTTTAATGAAGAATGTCCTTGATGAAGCCAGCCTTGGGATAGCTTTTTAAAACAGTATGCATGAGAAGAGTGCATTGGAAATAGATGGCTTAAAACCTTGTAAGCCTAGGGGTGCCTGGGTATCTCAGTGCATAGAGCATCCTTCGATACTCAAGATGACTCCTGATTTTGGTCCAAGTCATGGTCCCCACGTTGGACTCCTAGCTGAGCATGGAGTCTTCTTATGTCTCTCTCTCTCTCTCTCTCTCTCTCTCTCTCTCTCTTTCTCTCTCTCTCTCTCTCTCTCTCTCTGTCCCTTGTTCACTTGTTCCAGCATGCACATTCTCTGTAATTAAAAACAAACAGGGGCGCCTGGGTGGCTTAGTCGGTTAAGCGTCCGACTTTCGCTCAGGTCATGATCTCGCGGTTCGTGGGTTGGAGTCCCGCGTCGGGCTCTGTGCTGACTGCCAGCTCAGAGCCTGGAGCCTATTTCAGAGTCTGTGTCTCCCTCTCTCTCTGACCCTCCCCTGCTCACGCTGTCTCTCTCTCTCTCCTAGAAATAAATAAAAATTTTTAAAAAAATTTAAAAAACAAACAAACAAACAAAAACATAGCCTTGCAAGCCTAACTTTGCCCTTGTTCTGCCTTCATACTTGATTGATACAATTCCATTCTGGTATCTGAGATTTGTATGTGGCACATTTTTACTCCCTGAAAGCTTAAAAAAAATTTTTTTTAATGTTTCTTTTGAAAGAGAGAGAAAGACAGTGCACGAGCAGGGGAAGGGCAGAGAGAGGGAGACACTGAGACACAGAGCCTGATGTGGGGCTTGAACCCACAAACCATGAGATCATGACCTGAGTTGAAGGTTCAGCTGACTCACCCAGGCACCCTTCCCTGAAAGCTTTTAGAATCTTTAATGCTATGTTCTTTTTTTTTTTTTTTTAATGTTTTATTTTTTTCTGAGAGAGAGACAGCATGAGCAGGGGAGGGTCAGAGAGAGTGGCAGACACAGAATCTGAAACAGGCCCCAGGCTGTGAGCTACCTGTCAGCACAGAGCCCAAAACGGGGCTCGAACCCATGAACCATGAGATCATGGCCTGAGCCGAAGTCGGAGGCCCAACTGACTGAGCCACCCAGGCGCCCCTTTAATGCTGTGTTCTTACAGCCTTGCTGTGGGTCCTTTTTCATTCATTCAATCTAGAAGCTCATGTTTTACCATTCTAGGACCTTTTCTTTTCTTAAGTTTATTTATTTATTTTGAGAAAGTACCAGCAGGGTAGGGGCTGACAGAGAGAATCCCAAGCAGGCTCCACACTGTCAGTGCAGAGCCCGATGTACAGCTCGAACTCACAAACCATGATCATGACCTGAGTCAAAATTGAGTCAACTGCTTAACACACTGAGCTACCCAGACACTTACTTTTTATATTATTTCTCCTATTTTCTACTTCTTTGTTGTTTTGTTCTGTTTTATTTTAGTATTTTTTAAAGAATTTTTTGATTTTATTATTTTTTAATGTTTATCAGTTTTTTTAGTTAGACAGACAGACACACACACACACGCGCGCGCACACACACACACACACACACACACACACACACAGTATGAGTGGGGGAGGGGCGGAGGGAGACACAGAATCTGAAGCAGGCTCTATCCAGGCTCTGAGCTGTCACCACAGAGCCCACCATGGGGCTCGAACTCAAGAACCGTGAGATCATGATCTGAGCTGAAGTTGGGTGCTTAACCAACTGAGTTACCCAGGCACCTCTATTTTTTTATTTTTACATAATCTCCACACCCAGTGTGGGACTCAAACTTAGAACCCCAAGATCAAGAGTCACATGCCAGCCAAGCGCCCCTGTTTTGTTCTATTTTATTTTATTTTTTTAATGTTTATTTAGAGCACGAAAGAGAGATGGAGGGGAAGGAGCAGAAAGAGAGAGGATTTGAAGCCTGTTTTATGCTGACAGCAGACAGGGTGATGTGGGGCTTGAACTCACAAACTGAGACCATGCCCCTAGCCAAAGTCAGATGCTTAACTGACTAAGCCACCCCAGGCATCCCTTGTTCTAATTAAGATATCTCTTTGACCTTGTATTTAGTATTTTTATTCCATTTCCATTTTCAGTTTCTTTTTTATTTTTGCTTTTTCCCCCCTCATTATCAATTTCTAAGAGCTCTTTTGTTTCCTAAATATTTCCTCCCTTTCAGACATCATGTTCTCTTATATGAGTGTATTGTCATTTTTGGATTTTTGTTTTTAAGTTTCTTCTGTTTTCCTCAGTGTCTTTATGAAGAATATCTCTTTTCCTGTTAATTTTGTTCTCATCTTTTATGTGAGTACCATGAGAGCAGAGACTTGGTTATAGTCACACTGTGTGGCTTTGGGGAATTTAACAATCTTCTGTGTTTCCATTTCTCTCTTTAAAAAGGCATAATGATGATACCTTGTGTAGATTTTAGCGGGAGGAAATAAGTAGGGAAAGTGCTTTAAACACAGTCTGTTCCACACTGAATATACACCCAAGTGCTCTCATAGATAGATAGGTAGGTAGAGAGGCTAATAATGCATGCTATAATTATTATGATTATTTTCCCTAACTTATTTAATTTTCATTTAGTTTTTAGTTTTCTTTTCATTTAAATTCAAGCTAGTTAACATACAATGTAGTAGTGGTTTCAGGAGTAGAACCCAGTGATTCATCTCTTACATAAGACACCCAGTGCTCATCCCGACAAGTGCCCTCCTGAATGCCCATGCCCCATTTAGATCCCTCACCCACTACCCCTCCAGCAACCCTCAGTTTGTTCTATTTAAGAATCTCTTACGGTTTGCTTCCCTTCTGTTTGTATTTTATTTTATTTTTCCTTCCCTTTCCATGTATTCATTCATCTGTTTTGGTTCTTAGATTTTACATATGAGTGAAATCATGTGATATTTGTCTTTCTCTGACTGACTTATTTCACTTAGCATAATACACTCTAGTTCCATCCATGTTGTTGCAGATGGCAAGATTCCATTCTTTTTGATATTTTCCCTAATATCTTATGGAGTGTCTGTTACTTAATAGGTATTAAGTATATATGTTGAATGAATAAATGATTGAATAAATGCTAGAGACAAGGGAGAGGCTCTGTTGGTCTGAAATCTTCTTAAACAGCTTTTTAATCAATCCAGTGTTTAGCCTGAAGTATCCCTGAATTCTGCTGTTCTCCTGAACCTTTCTTAGGTTTCAGTTGTAACTTACCTTTTTTTGATTGAATGAGAGAATAAATGTAAATATTGTTCCTATGAGCTGATGAACAAAATGTTAAAGGATAATATAATTAATGGTAACAATGTAACAGTGTTATTTTATATTTAGAGGAATAGCCATTAATTAATTAATCACAGATTTTAATGTCCAAAGTCATTTCACATGAAGCCCTTCTCTTTAACTGTCCAGAAATCTGAACAGGAAGCTTTAGATTCCTCTGAACAGGGGATAGGATATTTTTGCAGGTGAGTTCTCTTAAAGAAAACTATGAGTATTATGAAGAAAAAATAAACTATGAGTATTATGTATATACATTTTTAAAACTATTATTTGGGAGGAAAGCACAAGTGGGGGAAGGGCAGAGAGAAAGAGACAGGATCTGAAGCAGGCTTTGTGCTGACAGGCTGACAGCAGTGAGCTGGATGTGGGGCTCAAATTCACGAACCTGGAGATGATGCTCTGAGCCGAAGTTAGACACTCAACCTTTGGGCCACCCAAAGGCCCCCTGTATATACATTTTATTTATTTATTTATTTATTTATTTATTTATTTATTTATTTAAAATGTGGCCTTTTTTTTTTTTTTAAGTTTATTTTGAGAGACAAAGTTTGAGTTGAGGAGGGGCAGAGAGACAGGGAGAGAGAGAGAATCCCAAGTAGAGTCTACACTGGCAATGTAAAGCCCAACTTGGCACTGGAACTCTCAAACCATGAGATCATGACCTGAGCTGAAGTCAGATGCTTAACCGACTGAACCACCCAGGCGCTCCTGTATATATATTATTTAAAGTAAACTGTATGCCCAACATGGAGCTCAAACTCACGAATAGGTCAAGAGTCTCATGCTCTACCACCTGAGCCAGCCACGCACCCCTATATACATTATTTTTGATATTTTACATTTGAAGTTTTCTTTTAAGAATGATATATTAGGGGCTCCTAGGTGGCTCACTTGGTTAAGCATCCAACTTCAGGTCAGATCATGATCTCATGGTTTGTGGGTTCAAGTCCTGCGTCAGGCTTTGTGTTGACAGCTAGCTCAGAGCCTGGAGACTGCTTCAGATTCTGCGTCTCTCTTTCTCTCTCAGAAATAAATAAAGACAGGGGCGCCTGGGTGGCTTAGTCAGTTAAGCGACCGACTTTCGCTTAGGTCATGATCTCGCGGTTTGTGGGTTCGAGCCTCGCGTCGGGCTCTGTGCTGACTGGCAGCTCAGAGCCTGGAGCCTGTTTCAGAGTCTGCGTTTCCCTCTCTCTCCCTGACCCTCCCCTGCTCACGCTGTCTCTCTCTCTCTCTCTCTCCTAGAAATAAATAAAAATATTAAAAAAAAAATAAAAGAAAGAAATAAAGACATTTTTTTAAAAAAGAATGATATATTAAAGAGGCACCCTGATGCCTCAGTTGGTTAAGTGTCCAACTTTGGGTCAGGTCATGATCTCACAGTTTGTGGGTTTGAGGCCCACTTTGGGCTCTGTGCTGGCAGCTCAGAGCCTGGATGGAGCCTGCTTCAGATTCTGTGTCTCCCTTTCTCTCTGCCCCGCCCCGCCTTACTTGTGTTCTGTGTCTGTCTCCCTCTCTCAAAAATAAATAAACATAAATTTTAAAAAATGATACATTAAATTTTACAGAGGGTGATCAAAAGTACAAACTTCTAAGTGTAAGATAAGTAAGTACCAGGGTTATAATGCACAACGGGATGATTGCCCTGGGATACATAGGGAAGTTAGAGTTAATCCTCAGTTCTCATCACAAGGAGAAGATTCTTTTTTTCTTTCTTTTTTTCAAATGTTTTAAATTTATTTTAAATGTTTATTTTTTGAAATACAGAGAACAATCAGGGGAGTGGCAGAGAGAGACAGAATCTGAAGTAGACTCTAGGCTCTGAGCTGTCAGCACAGAGCCTGATGTGGGGCTCAGACTCACAAACCAAGTGCTGGAGTTGGATGCTCAACCAGCTGAGCCACCCAGGCGCCCCTTCTTCTTTTCTTTTTATTGTGTCTATGTGAGACGACAGGTGTTAGCTGAACCTATTGTGGTAATCATTTTACAATACATGTAACTCAGACCATAATGCTGTATGCATTAAACTTACATAGTGAGGTATGTTAGTTTTCAGTAAAACTGGAAAAAAAATTGTAGCTGTGTTTGGTAATGGATGTTGACTAAACACTGTAGTAATCATCTTGCAGGATGTGCATATATGAAGTCATTTTGTTGTACACCAAAAATAAATACAATATTATATGTCAGTTTTATCAACTTTAAAAAGAAAATGAGGGGCACCTGGGTGGCTTAGTCGGTTAAGCGTCCGACTTTCGCTTAGGTCATCATCTCGCAGTTCATGGGTTCGAGCCCCGCGTTGGGCTCTGTGCTGACAGCTAGCTCAGAGCCTGGAGCCTGTTTCAGATTCTGTATCTCCCTCTCTCTCTGACCCTCCCCTGCTCACGCTGTGTCTGTCTCTCTCTCTCCTAGAAATAAATAAAAAAATATTTAAAAAAAAAATAAAAAAGAAAGAAAAAAGAAAAAGAAAATGATACATAAAATATATACAATAGAAGAACTTCAGAATTTTAATCTAGTACATTTTATTAACATGATACTTTTTTTTCTTACTGCTCTACAGGTAGATGTTAGTATAAAATTATGGAAAAATGGCTTCACAGTCAATGATGATTTCAGAAGTTACTCTGATGGTGCAAGTCAGCAGTTTCTGAACTCCATAAAAAAAGGGTAAGCAGTCTTTGTAAATACAAGGATATTTTAGGCATGTTTCATTTGGAAGAATCCACATTATTGCATATAGCTATATTTGGCATGAATCCCAGAAGAAATATAAAAATATGGATAAATTTCATTATATAAATATTAAAAACATATATTTACCAGCAACACTTATATGCAGTCAAAAGAGAACTGCCAGACTGGAGGTACTTTTTTCATAAATGTCATGCAAATGGAACATATATGCAATTCTTATAAATCACTAAGAAAAAAATGGAAAGAGTATTTTATATATTTATACCATTTGATCTACTTTATAACACTATGCATTTGGTAAAAGTGAATGACATATATCTATATATTAACATGAGAAGATTTCTATGGTAACTTTTGTTTTTGGGGTTGTTTTGTTTTTTATTAAGTGCTTTTTTCTGTTTTTAAGTTTTCGTTTAATATTTACTTATTTTTGAGAGAGAAAGAGAGACAGGGCATGAGCAGGGTAATAGCAGAGAGGGAGAGAGAGACACGGAATCTGAAAGAGGCACCAGGCTCTGAGCTGTCAGCACAGAGCCCTTCATCGGGCTTGAACCCAAAAACAATGAGCTCATGACCTGAGCCGAAGTTGCATGAGTAACCGACTGAGCCCTACCCAGGCGCCCCTGGTATCTTTTGTTTTTATTTTTTTTATTTTTATTTTTTTTTTAATGTTTTATTTATTTCTAGGAGAGAGAGAGAGACAGCGTGAGCAGGGGAGGGTCAGAGAGAGAGGGAGAGACAGACTCTGAAATAGGCTCCAGGCTCTGAGCTGGCAGTCAGCACAGAGCCCGACGCGGGGCTCGAACCCACTATCTGCGAGATCATGACCTAAGCGAAAGTCGGATGCTTAACCGACTAAGCCACCCAGGCGCCCCTCTTTTGTTTTTAAAAAGTTTGCAGGGACACTTGTGTGGGTCAGTCAGTTGAGTGTCTGACTTTTGATTTTGGCCCATGTCTTGATCTCACACTTCATGAGATCCAGCTCCATGTCAGGCTCTGTGTTGACAGCATGAAGTCTGCTTGGGATTCTCTTTCTCCCTCTCTTGCTGCCTCTCCCCAGCTGGTGCTCTCTCTGTCTCTCTCAAAATGAATAAATACACTTTAAAAAAAAGCAGTTTGCAGAATACTGATAGTGTGTATACATCAGTACCATCTGCGGATAAAATAAAATAATTATGTGGAGTTTTATTATATGCATAGAGAAAAAGCTAGGAGATACAACACCAGAGTTTTGTGCTTTTTAAAAAAATTTTTTAATGTTTATCTTTGAGAGAGAGACAGAGCATGAGCAGGGGAGGGGCAGAGAGAGAGGGAGACACAGAATCTGAAGAAGGCTTCAGGCTCTGAGCTGTCAGCACAGAGCCCACCCACCGCGGGGTTAAAACTCACGAACTGTGAGATCATGACCTGAGCCAAAATTGGATGCTTAACCAACTGAGTCACCTAGGTGCCCCAATGTGGATTTTTTGTTTTTGTTTTTGTTTTCAAGTAAGCTCTAGGCCCAACATGGGGCTTGAACTCACAACCCCAACCAAGATTAAGAGTTGCATGCTCAGGACGCCTGGCTGGTTCAGTTGGTGGAGCATGTGATTCTTGATCTCAGGTTCATGAGCCCAAGGGGTTGTGTGTTTGAATCCTACATTGGGTGTAGAGATTACTTTAAAAAAAAAAAAAAAAAAAGTGAAAGAATTGTATACTCGACCAACTGAGCCAGCCAGGTGCCCCAGTTTTTTATTAAAGTGAGAGTGGGATTATAAGGAATGTCACCTTTTTTTTTTAATTTATTGATTTTTGAGAGAGAGTAAACATACTGGGGTATGAGGGCAGGCATTGAGAGAGGGAGAGAGAGAGGATCCCAAACAGGCTCCACTCTGTCAGTGCAAAGCCTGACTCAGGGTTCATGCTCAGGATCCATGAAATGACCTGAGCTGAGATCAAGAGTTTGTTGCTTAATCTACTGAGCCACCAGGCACCCCAGGACTGTCACTTTCTAAGTTGACTTGTGTTTACATTTTTTATGTATTGTTTTATTTTTAAAACAAATGTATATTACTTATTCTTAAAAATTTTTGAAGTATAACATATTCAGAGAAGTATAAGAATCCTAAGTATAAAATCAATTTGTATTGTTTCAGTTTTCAGGAAAAAATCATTTACTTTATAAGTTTGTTAAAACTTGTAATTTGTTTAAAATTTCCCTGTGGAAGTTCATGGCTTATATATCTATATATTCCATAACATTGTAAACTTTCAAGTGTTCATTAGAAAAGACTCTGCTTTTAAAAGATCATAAGATTCAGAGAAGTTTACTGTGTTCAGAAGAGAGACGTCTCTGATGTTTGAGACACAGCCTCCAGCGGAGGCCATGTCCTAACGATGGTACTTGAATCTTTCTGTTAGGAGTATAAAATGTGAAAACACTTTTTAAAATTTCACATGTTTTGTATTTTTTTTTTTTTTTTTAATTTTTTTTTAATGTTTTATTTATTTCTAGGAGAGGGAGAGAGAGAGAGAGAGAGACAGCGTGAGCAGGGGAGGGTCAGAGAGAGAGGGAGTCACAGACTGAAACAGGCTCCAGGCTCTGAGCTGGCAGTCAGCACAGAGCCCGACGCGGGGCCCAAACCCACGAACCGCGAGATCATGACCTAAGCGAAAGTCGGACGCTTAACCGACTAAGCCACCCAGGCGCCCCCATGTTTTGTATTTTAATTCATCATATCTAGAGTAAATCTATATATATTTTCATTTTTTATATTTCTATTCAGCAATGGAAATGAGAGCTTGATTTTTCTAGCACATTTTTAGTTTTATTCAGACACCTATAAAAAGACCAAATTGTTTAAATTTAGCAGCATATAGTCATCAAGTATTTCATGACGTTAGTACTATTCTAGGTAGTGCTGAATAACTCAAGCTGTTCATGAATTTGTAGTCTTAAAAATTAACTCTCTAGTTGGTGGCTCTGTCAGTTAAGCATCTGACTTCAGCTCACACCAGGGTCTCCATGGTTCGTGAGTTTGAGCCCAGCATCAGGCTCTGTGCTGACGGCTCAGAGCCTGGAGCCTGCCTCAGATTCCGTGTCTTCTCTCTTATTGGGCACCTCCCCTATTCTTGTGCGCTCTTTCTCTCTCAAAAATAAACAAACATACATTAAAAGAAATTACTTTGGATTCTTCTTGGTTCTTGGTATTCATGTTATTTGACTGTATCATTTTAAATACATTCCGTTGCAGGGGCACCTGGGTGGCTTAGTTGGTTAAGCCTCTGACTTTCGCTTAGGTCGTGATCTCGCGGTTCGTGGGTTCGAGCCCCGCGTCGGGCTCTGTGCTGACTGCCAGCTCGGAGCCTGGAGCCTATTTCAGAGTCTGTATCTCCCTCTCTCTCTGACCCTCCCCTGCTCATGCTGTCTCTCTCTCTCTCTCCTAGAAATAAAAATATTTTTAAAAAATAAATAAATAAAATAAATACATTCAGTTGTGGAGGCAAGTGGTTGTCTCAGTCGTTGGAGCATGTGACTCTTAATTGGGTTGTGGGTTTCAGCCCCACATTGGGTGTAGAAATTACTTAAAAATAAAGCCTTAATAAAATATTTAGTTTTTTATTGTAAAGATTATAAGCCTCTTATTTCTACATATTGTTCAGTTCTGTTTGCATACAGAATGTTTTTCAGAGAAAGAAAAAACTTTGGGAGCTTTATCACTTTGTTTCTTTTCCTTCCTAGGGAATTACCTTTGGAATTGCAGGGAATTTTTGATAAAGAGGAGGTGGATGTTAAAGTTGAAGACAAAAAAAATGAAGTATGTGTGTCAACGAAGCCTGTGTTCCAGCCCTTTTCAGGTCAAGGTCATAGACTGGGAAGGTAAGTAGCCCCATGAGCTGTGCTTTCCATAAACAGAGGCTTGAATAATACTCAACTTGTCATTATGTTACGATATAGACCATATATAAAAAACTTACCATTTCTCTCATTGGAAATGAGATTTTTCTTCATAACTTTTATGAGGACTCCTAAGTCATATTTACCTTAGTGTAAATTAACACATGCTGGTAGTATGCTAAAAACATCATGGAGGCTTTTTTGATTTTACCAAATTAAAAGGACATGGATTATTTAGGACATTCGGCAGAATTGGATGGATAAATAATTTTTCTCCTTGCCCCCACCACTTGATCATAGCTGTTAATGTTACAGAGTAGTACATATGCTAGCTTTTGTATATAGGGTTCAATTTTATACTTACCAATGCCTTCAACATTGTGATCTGTGGTAAGTATCTGAATTGTGGTAAGTATCTGAATTTGTAAGTATCACAAATTGTGAATTCGTGAGCTCCCAAAGTTTTTTCTTTCTCTGAAAAACATATTCTGTATGCAAACGGAACTGAACAATATGTAGAAATAAGAGGCATATCATCTTTACAATAAAAAACTAAATAAAAATAAAGTAATAAAAAATAAAACAAAAATAGCATGATAAGGTTGGTATCCATATCAAAGCCTTTATTGTCAAATTTTGCAGTCTTTATCATATCTAACTCTGCCTTACGACAGAATATACAGAGATTACATATGTGATCATGTGTATCTTTATCCATTCTCATATATTATCAAGATTGGTAAAGTTATCTACATATTCATCCACACATATAAAAATATTCAGATAAAAATATTCACATGTAGGGGTGCCTGAGTGGCTCAGTTGTTAAGCGTCCAACTTCGGCATAGGTCATGATCATGTGATTTGTGAGTTCAAGCCCCACGTTGGGCTCTGTGCTGATTGCATGGAGCTGGAGCCTGCCTTGAGTTCTTTGTCTCTCTCTTTCTCTGCCCCTCCCCTGCTCATACTCCATCTCTCTCTTCCTCTCTCAGAAATGAATAAACATTAAAAAAAAATTGAGTGTAACTTTCAGAATGATCAGGAAATACTTTGCCTCCTTTTCTCCCCCTTTATAACCCAAAGATTCATCTCTATTGAGAACTTCTCATTTCTTAACAGAAATTTTAACCTTGGGAGTAGTAGGTAAAGTCCATAAATCGAATAACCCTGTAAAATTATCTATTCTGTAAGGCGCTATTTAAATTTACAATATTGGGGCACCTGGGTGGCTCAGTCAGCTAAGCATCCAACTTTGGCTCAGGTCAAGATCTCAAGGTTCGTGGGTTCGAGCCCCGCGTCAGGCTTTGTGCTGACAGCTAGCTCAGAGCCTGCAGCCTGCTTCAGATTCTGTGTCTCCCTCTCTCTCTGACCTTCCTCTGTTCACTCTGCCTCTCTCTCTCTCTCTCTCTCTCTCTCACAGAAATAAATAAAACATTAAAAAAAATTTTTAAACAATTAAAATATTTTATTGTATATTTACATAGAATTCTACACTTTTTTTTTTTTTTTTTTTTTTAGCATTCTACAGTCTTACAAGTTACTTGGATATGCCTAATTTCATTAGGTTCCTACATTCATCATATATGATGGACATAACTAATATTGTTATTATTGAGGAAACAGCAGTGACTTACTAAAATCTTCCTAAAGTATATGTAATGTAAAATTTAAAAAAATTTTTCTTAATGTTTTATTATTTATTTTTAGGAGAGAGCGAGAATGAGTGGGGGAGGGGCAGACAGGGAGATGCAGTATCTGAAGCAGATTCCAGGCTGTGAGCTGTCAGCACAGAGCCTGATGTGGTACTCAAACTCACAAGCTGTGACATCATGATCTGAGCTGAAGTTGGACGCTTAACTGACTGAGCCACCCTTTTACCCCTTAATGTAAAATTTTTATAGTAATTATTTAATGATAAGGTTTTGCTTACTGAATAACATGCATCTGACTTTGTTGTCTGGATTTTCTTAGTGCCACACCAAAAATTGTTTCTAAGGCAAAGAGTATTGAAGTCGAGAATAAAAATTTGTCTGTTGTTCAACTAAACACCCTGGAACCCATCACTAATGTACAGATCTGGTTAGCCAATGGAAAACGGATTGTCCAGAAATTTAACATTTCTCATAGGTGAGTCTTCCATTTCATTATTTGTCTTAGTTTTTTTCTGTTTTAAATTTCTTTTCAGTTCAGTAAACCATTTTTTAGAACCAACCAAGGATCTTAACAGTTCTCTAAATATAATATATCATGACAGTAGAAATTCTTGGACATAATGAAGTCTTTCCAGTTTGTTTTATGGATTATCATTTTTATCATTTGGTTAGTTTTCCTATATAACTAGATATGTAATTTTATTTTATTAATTTATTTTTAATTTACTTTTTAATGATTTTTAAGTGAAAGAATCTTTTATTTAGTGTTTATTTTTGAAAGAGAAAGAGTGTGCATGAACCAGGGAGGGGCAGAGAGCAAGGGGAACAGAGAATCCAAAGCAGACTCTACAGTGACAGCAGAGAACCCAAATGCAGGGCTCCAACTCCTGATGGGATCATGGCCAGAGTTGGACGCTTCCCTGACTGAGCCGCCCAGGTGCCCCATAACCAGTTTTGTTTAATGTTTATTTATTTTGAGAGAGAGAGAGCACGCACATGTGTGCATAAGCGGGGGAAGGGCAGAGAGAGAGAATCCCAAGCAGGCCTCACACCGTCAGTGCAGAGTCTGTCACAGGGCTCATCTCACAAACCGTGAGATCATGACCCAAGCTGAGATCAAGAGTCAGACACTTACCCTACTGAGCCATCCAGTTCTCCCTGGATATATAATTTTAGAAGAATTGTTTTTAATGTTTTAAAATCAGCCATTAGCATTATGTGCATATTTTTTGTTAAAAAAATACAGAAAAATATTGAAAGAAATTGAAGTCATTTGAAATTCCATCACCCAGAAATAATCACTAGTCTCAGTTTCATGGATTTTTCCAGTCTTTTATCTCTTAAAATTGTTAACATTTTAAATTTATTTTTATTTTTTAAGTAAACTCTACCCTTCCATGGGGCTTGAACTCACGATTCTAAGATCACAAGTTGCCACTTCTTCAAAGTAAGCCAGCTAGGCACCCCAGAAATTTTTGTTCCTTTCAATTAAAAGTAGGAACATCCTGTGCATAGGTTTCGTTCTTTATTTAAAAACATATAAAATTTTGGGGGAGAAATTTTTTACACAAAAATTATATATGTATAGTTAAAGTAACAATAAGATAAACACACATACAGTGCCTCACTCAAAACATACACCAATATATCTGTGTGCGTTTCTTCGATCATATCTCTCTTTTTTGTGCAGGAGATGCTCTATTCTGAATTTTTGTTCTTCATCTTCTGCTTTTTTTTTGTTTTGTTTTTAATTTTTTTTTCTGAGAGAGAGAGAGAGCGAGCAAGCGAGCATGAGCAGGGGAAGGTCAGAAAGAGAGGAAGACACAGAATCTGAAGCAGTCTCCAGGATCTGAGCTAATTGTCAGCACAGAGCCCGACGCGGGGCTTGAACCCACAAACCATGAGATCATGACCTGAGCCGAAGTCGGACGCTTAACCTACTGAGCTACCCAGGAGCTCCATTGTGCTTTTTTTTTTTTTTTTTTAAGTTATTTATTTTGAGAGAGACAGAGAGACAGCATGGGTGGGGGAGGGGCAGAGCAGGAGCGAGAGAGATAATCCCAAGCAGACTCCACTCTGTTAGCACAGAGCGCAATGAGGGGCTTGAACTCCTGAAACTGTGAGATCATGACCTGAGCTGAAACCAGTCGGATGCTTAACCAACTTAGCCACCCAGGTGCCTCCTTCATCTGCTTTTATTCATAGTTTTACCAAGTACATATGTATCTTTAAAAAGTACTGAGTTGTTTTGCTCATTTTCAAATAATTGCCTTAAGTTTTAAAACAATCATAAACATACAGAGAAGTTTTAAGAACACTATTAAAAACCTCTTTTTTTCCTAGCCATCGAGAGTAAGTTGCCAAGCTGATGACCCATCACCCAGAATACATTACTGTGTATTTCCTACAAACATGGCCATTGTCCCATATAAACACAATTCAGCCATCTGGGAGTCTTAACACTGAAGTACTTCTACCGGCTAATATTTGGGCCCTATTCAAAGTTTGCCATTTAATCCAAAATCATCCCAAAAAAAAAAAAAAGCCTAAAGACCATTCAGAATCACACATGTCTCAGTTTCGGGGCGGGGGGGGGGTTGTGTTTTTTGTTTTTTCTTCTAGTTTTCTTTAAATCCTAGTTAGTTAACATATAGAGTAATACTGGTTTCAAGAGTAGAATTTAATGATTAATAACTTAAATATAACATCTAGTGCTCACCATAACAAGTGCCCTCCTTGATGCTCATCATCCATTTAGCCAGTCCCGTACCCATCTCCCTCCATCAACACTGTTCTCTATCATTAAGAGTCTCTTATGGGGGGCCCTGGGTGGCTCAGTCGGTTGAGCGTTCGACTTCGGCTCGGGTCATGATCTCACGGTTCGTGGGTTCGAGCCCCGCATCGGGCTCTGTGCTGACAGCTAGCTCGGAGCCTGGAGCCTGCTTCGGATTCTGTGTCTCCCTCTCTCTATGAACCTCCCCTGCTCATGCTGTCTCTATCTCTCTCTCAGAAATAAATAAAATATTTAAAAAAAAAAAGAGTCTCTTATGGTTTGCTTCCCTCCCTCTGTCTCTCTTTTTTTTCGCCTTCCCATATTTTCATCTGTTTTGTTTCCTAACTCCCACATGAGTGAAATTATATGATATTTGTCTTTTTCTCTTGACTTATTTTGCTTATTAGCATAATACACTTTAGTTCTGTCCACATTGTTACAAATCGCAAGACTTCATTCTTTTTTTTTTTAATTTTTTTTTTGACATTTATTTACTTTTGAGAGAGAGAGTGAGAGACAGAGCGTGAGTGGGGAGGGGCCGAGAGAGAAGGAGACACAGAGTCCGAAGCAGGCTTCGGGCTCTGAACAAGCTTTCAGCACAGAGCCTGACGCGGGGCTCAAACCCACGAACCTGTGAGATCATGACCTGAGCCAAAGTCGGCCACTTAACCAACTGAGCCATCCAAGTGCCCCAAGATTTCATTCTTTTTGATGGCTGAGTAATATTCCTCTGTGTGTGTGTGTGTGTGTGTGTGTGTGTGTGTGTGTGTGTGTGTGTTTGTCCCCCACATGTCGTTTATCCATTCATCAGTTAATGGATACTTAGGCTCTTTCCATAGTTTGACTGTTGTTGATAATGGTGCTGTAAATATCAGAATACATGTGCCCCTTCAGATCAGTATTTTTGCATCCTTTGAGTAAATAACTAGTAGTGTGATTGCTGGGTCTTAGGGTAGGTCTGTTTAACTTTTTGAGGAACCTCCAAACTGCTCTCCAGAGTAGCTGCACCAGTTTGCATTCCCACCAGCAGTGCAGGAGGGCTCCCCCTTTGTCCACATCCTCACCAACATCTGTTGTTTCCTGTGCTAATGTTAGCCATTCTGACAAGTGAGCTGGTATCTCTTGTGGTTTTGATTTGTATTTCCCTGATGATATGTGATGTTGAACATCTTTTCATGTCTCTATTAGCCATCTGGATATCTTTTTTGGAAAAGTGTCTATTCATGTCTTTTGCCCATTTCTTCACTTGAATATTTGTTTTTTGGGTGTTGAGTTTGATAAGTTCTTAAATTTTATATACTAACCCTTTATCCAATATGTCATTTGTGTATAGCTTTTTTATTCTATATGCTGCCCTTTAGTTTTCATGTTTCCTTTTCTCTGCAGAACTTTTTATCTTGATGAAAGGCCAATAGTTCATTTTTGCTTTTGTTTCCCTTACCTCCATCGGTATGTTAGGTAAGAAGTTGCTATGGCTGAGGTCAGAGATGTTGCTGTCTGTATTCTCCTCTAAGATTTTGATGGTTTCCTTTCTCACATTTAGATATTTCATTCATTTGGAATTTAATTTTGTGTATGGTGTAGGAAAGTGGTCTAGTGTCATTTTTCTGCATGCTGCTGTCCAGTTTTCCCAACACCATTTGTTGAAGAGACTTTTTCTGACTGGATACTCTTTCCTGCTTTGTTGAAGATGAAATGACCACATGGTTATGGGCCCATTTCTGAGTTTTCTATTCTGTACCATTGATCTGTGTGTCTGCTTTTTGTGCCAGTACCATATTGTCTTGATGATTACAGCTTTTTAATACAGCTTGAAGTCTGGAATTGTGATGCCTCCAGCTTTGCTTTTCTTTATCAGAATTGCTTTGGCTATTCAGGGTCTCTTGTGGTTCCTTGCAAATTTTAGGATTGTTTGTCCTAGCTCTGTGGGAAATGCTGGTGATATTTTGGTAGGGATTGCATTGAATGTGTAGATTACTGTGGGTAGTATTGACATTTTAACAATGTTCTTCCAATCCATGAGCATGGAAGTTTTTTCGTATTTCTTTTTGTTCTTTTCAGTTTCTTTTATAAGTGTTCTATAGTTTTCAGATTTTTTACCTTTTTGGTTAGCTTTATTCTTAGATATCTTATTGGTTTTGGTGCAGATACAAATGGGATCAATTCCTTGATTTCTTTTTCTGTTCCTTCATTATTGGTGTATAGAAATGCAACAGATTTCTACATGTTGATTTTGTATATTGCAGCTTTGCACAATTCATGTATTTAGTTCTAGAAATTTTTGGGTGGAGTCTTTTGGGTTTTCCAGATAGAGTATCATGTCATCTTCAAATAGTGAAAATTTGACTTCCTTGCCAATTTGAACGCCTTTTATTTTTTGTTGTTGTTTGAGTGCTGAGGCTAAGACATCCAGTACTATGTTAAATAGTAATGATGAGAGTGGTCATTCCTATCCTGTTCCTGATCGAAGAAGAAAAGCTCTCCATTTTTCCTCACTGAGGGTGATATTAGCTGTGGCTCTTTCATATATGCCTTTTATCATGTTGAGTTTGAAATAATAGTTCCTCAGTCTTTCTTTGATTTTTATAACCTTGACATTTTTCTTTTAATTACAGGCCAATTTTGTATTTGATTGTTTCTCGTGATTATAGTTAGTTCACTAATTTTGGCAGGAATATCACAAAAGTGATGCTTTTGTATCT